TAAGCAATTTATCATACTATTTTTAGTCATAAATCGATTACTTAGTATTTTCTTCAAGGTGTTTAAAAGCACGAAAGCTTTGTTTCAGACGTTAGTTGCATCATGGAAACTTTGCTCATCGTATGTCTTTTACACCTCACTTTCAAAATCCATACCTTTCATGTCCCTAGTGATTAAGTTGAAGCAGAACTGCAGAAATCTTTCTCAAGAATATCAGTAAAGTACAATTCTTGCTTCATAGTGACAAATCAGAATTCTGTAGCAGCATATCATATATCTGGTATGTTCATAGAGAGCTCAGGATGCACTGCTAGATCGTCTCAACAGAATACAATTTTACCAAAGCCAGTAGCTTTAAGTATGAAGCATTGATGGTATTTCTTGATAGCCTAGACGATATTTCCGAAGCAGTTGCTGCTTTAAGAGATCATACATCAGTGTGGAGTACTGACGTTAACCTGCACATCGTCATAAGTACGCAAATGAATGATATATCAGAGATGAGAGTGGTACTTCCAAAATTGTGGGAAAACAAAATGTATAGCTTTATTATAGTTCTTGTCTGCGAGTATTTGGAGATCTTCTCATATGATCCTTTCAGAGATGAAGCTGTCGATCTTATGAAGAATTTGGATTACTGCCCTTTTAGTCACCGAATTACGAATATGTATGGTTATGCTTTAAAAGTCTGCATTGTACAGTACCCACCAACTTTGATCCTAGACAATGGTACCTGGGTAGGTGACCAATGGGTATTCTTAGAAGGCGTTAAAAAAGCCATGAACTATTCAGTTGACTGGATAGGAGGCAATTCTTCTGTACTACTTACCATGGAAAGCCATGATGTATGCGGCATGTCCATCAATAGTATTTACTATATGCTAGAAACTATAACACAGTATAGTGATGCAGTGAGATGCTCTGAAATAGTAGCTTTGATACCAGTGTCTTTGGCAAAACAATCATTTGGTATCCTCGAAAGTATGAGATATAGCATGTTTATTCCATTTTTCGTGGTTGGCCCACTGCTACTCCTTATTGCAAGATATACAGGTATGAAAGACAAAAGACATAATCACACAAACCTAAGTTCGTTTTTAGTATGTGCCTAACTCAGAATCCTTTACCGTTCATTCTGAAAGAACCAACATTGCTGAAATGGCTACTGATACTTTGGACCCTAGAGTGGGTCGTACTAGCAACTTGTTTACAATGTACTGTGACAGCAAAACCTTCTCATGCAAAAGTATGCACCACATATAAACACTATCAAAGATCTGGTTGAGTCAAATCTCTCTCATTGCATATGTATTTTACTCTACAAGGTGCTTTGCCAGAAAAATACCATTGGATTAAGAAGCTACGATTATGGGAGCATCTACATGATTTAGACAAAATGATCCAGTCTGAGAATGGTTCAAACGCTTACATTTTGAAGACAACGTAAGCTTATTTTTACGAGAGAAAGGTTTTGAATGATCATGGGAAGCCTTTTTATACAATTCTGAGAGAGGTGTTAGTACCAGGGTTTCTTTCAAAAGAACTCTCCATATTTAAGCACTGTGAACAAGTAATTGATGAGGATCAAAGAAGCTATATTTACGAAAACATCAACAAATCATCGTAGAACTCGGCAGCATCAAAGAAAAAACAGTGGTAAAGTATCAGTGATTACTATGGAAAATTTCCACGTGGCTTTGCTTATCCTAAAGTATTATTATGTTATTTGCTGTATTGTATTTGTTGATGAATTGGTTGTGGACAGAATTAAGAAATGTTCAGCAAATTCAAAGTACAGTCTGTTCTACCAGTGACTTATTTTAAGATCCTAGCTCCATTATAAGCGAGAAAAATATTAAGCGATGTATAGCGAAAATAAAAAATGTGGAACGTGGTTATTCTCTTATTTCACAGGTATGAAAATGGCGTCAAGTAGGTTGACTGCGCTTTCCACGCAACGTTGTCATCAGTTAATAAGCGATTATGTTCGGTACAAGTTAGTGTCTCTGAACTAGTTACAAACATGTATAACAAACAAATTAAATGGATTAAGTCAGCCAAACAGGCCCATGCAATTACTGCATACTCCATAGTCTCCACCCATTTGATAACGCTTAAGCTAGTTTCTTCCTTGCTCTACGTATTAACCATCTGGCAACGGTGCCCAACCACACCAGTATAATAAACCGATAGAACCGGCGATGCAGTCAGAGTCAAACAGAAGTAGACAGGCAGACAGTGCTCAGTGTAATAAGGCTGCGTCTCCGCCGGCTGTTTGAAATATGTACTGATGGTAGCGTAAAATTAATGGAGTTCGAAGTGTATAAATATACCTACTGCTGACAGAAAAATGGTATATGCATGTTGAATATTCCATTTCGGGTAAAGTTGGATTCATCTGTCCATAAGATGCTGTCAAAAAAAGTTTCATCCTCTTCGCACCCTCTCAAAATATTCTCACAAAATTCAGCCCGTTGTGCATAGTCGCTTGGAAGCAATTTTTGTACTTTTTGTACATGGTAAGGATGCATGTTCTCCGAGCGTAGTATTGTGTGCACTGAAGTATGGGTTATCTTTCTGCTTCCGGCAATGGCTATGGAGCTCATAGCCGGTTGTGGTCTTCTAACCACATATATATATCAGGAATACATGCAAGGAGCTGCTCGAGCATTTCCTAGGGCAACACCGTAATAGTAGTGCATTTCTGCATAATCTCGCGGAGAATATGACTCAGATGCCAAACGTTAAATACAAATTCCGCACTGGACCATTGCCTGACTTAGTAATTTCGGTCGTACCGAAGATTGAATGCTCCCGCACCTGGAATGCCGAGTTGAATGCCCAAGCTCATTAAGCTGATTTGGCTATTTACGTAAAAAATCCGCCATGTTAATACACACAGTATCACTCGCACTGCTAGGAATAATCTTACAGTATTCATCAAGTCGTTTGGACTGTAGCTTGTGAAATAGAATTTCTTGGTTACATGTATAGATACCCACCTGCATCAAACATACACATTTTTAAGGTGAGGCACTTATCGTAGCAAGCTGAAATTTTCAGGGCCTATTCTACATGGATTGAAATAGTTTTTACGATAAAATGAATAATGAAATACAACCTCAATTTTATTACCGTCCACCAATGTTGAGGGATTGAAAAGATTTTTCACAAAGAAATAGATTTAAGATTTCTAATTAGCTCTGTTAAAAAGTGACATGCCCATTGCTAAAACTAACCATTTGGCTCATCTCAAAAAAAAATCACAGCTCTCAGCCTGATGGTTTGGTTGTAATTGCGATTGAATGTTCATTATCCCGTCTTTTCTTCGAAATTTCACAAAATTGCAAATATCTCCTGAATCAGAAAATTTCAGACCACACATATAGAGGTTCATTCGATATCTTTTGAGGCCTTGTATCATCTGACTTCCATTGACCTAGTGCTAACTTTACACCCTGTATACCCTCCTCCACCCCTACGACCTCTTACAATTTTTTTCCTGAAAATGATCAGAAAGTAAAAAAGAGTTGAAAATGCTCAGTCAGATGTTCTGGAATAGTCAATATGGTTCTAATTCGAGTTTACAGATTTTTTTATCAAAATGAAGTTTCCGCTTATCATTGTTTAATTGATAATTGTTTTGGTAACTTACGCTACCGATAGCCAGTCGTAGTGCCATTAGAACCTCTTAATTCTCCAAGGCCGTATGCTCCGCTGTTCGATTATCACATATTATGAGGTGTCGTTGGATTCATCTTAGCGGTGCGAGTGAGACTAGCTACATTGAAATTTTATACAAAATTGAAGGTGGATTTTAATAAAAGATTTCAACCCTGTAATTCCTATTTCACAGGCTATAGCTCAAACGGATTCTGGCTCCACAATAGAGCGCTTCGTCTCTTTACTGTAAAAACAAGATAAACATTTTTCTAAATTATCTATATTTTAGTATGTTCTGTGGAGCAGGATTAATACTGTACTACATTTATCCTTATTCCACAGAACATCCTAAGTACATGTAAGTGTGAAAATGTACGCAACTCGAAAAGTAGAAAAATGGAGTTATATTCTCTTTGCTGTAAGGTGGTGGTACTCGTATAATAATAAATGGAAATGACTTAGTCTAAGAAACATTTTTTTTCCATTTCCTTTTACGATTTTTCTGGTCTTTCAAACTTCTATTCAGTTCTTTGATCCGGAAGAACATCCTTGTCCTGAAAAACAGTCTTTTAGCTTTTTCAAGTCAGTCAATGTTGCTACTCTTCAACAGAAGTTCACCTACAAAATTTTGCTTTTTTGTCACTATTCCGTCCCCATTGAATGTAGTGAATACCTTGTTCAGCTTCTTAATTTTTTCTCGTTAATGGTTAGTGGAATGTCTGGAGTATCCTCTGACTCTACGCTGCAATAGGTACTCTGAGTATGCGTCTTCGTTTCGCCCCAACATATATGACCTTATTCTATACTTAAACTCTAGAGGACTTGTATCGTCATGAAGATTATCTTTTGCCCTAATTACTCAAAAAAAAGTTTCTATCACATCTTGATTAAGATGTCTTGTTAACAGGTATTGGACGCTGAAGCGTCGTTTCAGATCCTCTAGAGCATTTTCTAGCAAACCCTAGCGCTTTTTACATTGACTTTGTCTTATCTTTTCATGAGATGTAGCCATTTTTCTGCTAAAGTTTGGGTCTTGAGGAAAACTGAAACTACATGTCTTTGCAAAGATTCCGTTTAGATTGATTGTCGGAATTACACCCCACAACAGCACAGCGCATTTTTATCAATTTATCAACCACACACTGTATATAAGGAATGTATAACTAATACAACAAGTCACAAAACCAACAAAAAACACCAACAAATCGCACTATATAGTATTAACCACGATACACGTGAACTGCAGTAAGGTTATGACAATCCTGCCGCTGGTAACCACGAGCCGATAACTCTCCGGGGGACGTCACGAAGCTCCACCCACATGCGCAATATCCTATCTTCAGTGTATTTGTATCGTGGTTGCTTCCAGAATAGTAATTTCAGGTATCGCTAAGTCCTCGACCATTATAAAACCTTTGAGGTCGTGGTGAAGGTTCTAGGCCACAATTAGATGACCCTTCTTAAGATTTTTAATTTGCAACATTTTGGGTAGCATATTTTTCGAGATATTTACTTCTCGACATGCTTCTTGGATACCCTAAAATGAGTATGGAGGTCAGAGTCAAGGTCATGGACAAGGACTGACTTGGAGGTAAAATTACGAGCTCTTTACATTTTTGATGGAGCTTATAATTTGAGGATCATAATTTTACAAAACTGTCTTGACTTTCGAATGAACTTGGAAGTCATTGTCAACCTCACGTTCAGGGTCAAGGTTCCCACTAGTTAACCCTTTACAAACTGCACAACTTTTTTATACAAATTCTTTCTCTAGGAATATTTGGGATATTTTTATGTATCCTTACTTCTTGTACACGCAATGTGTCAAGTTTATGGCGTTGTAGTTTAACAGCACCATTTTCATTCTCTGTGGCTGCAAGTGAAGGTAATCTAAGTCGCTAGATTAGAACATGACCTACAAAAAGCTCTGAATGCGCCGGTTGATACCTTATCACCTTTCCATCAATTTCTACTTCAAATGGTTTCTAAGACTTTGAAAAATATCGTCGCATCCATTTTTGTTAACTATGGAATAGCGCATCCATACCCGAAACCTATACATCATCTCAGTAGGGTATGTTACAAAAAAGCAACAGACAAATGAAAGTCGTGTGTCCGTTTTGATTAATCTACCGTTTGTCGGCTCGTTAAGGAGCAAATGAAGAAGAAAATGAAAAGAACGACGCCGCTTGGGCCTTAATTAACGCGTTATTTTTTTTCGAAAAACATCCGCCTGGCCGTTATCTGTATATTAAAAGTGGCTAACACCCATCATTGGTCATTTATTTTTTTTCTTGTGTGCAACATACATGACTAATGTGATGGGGTACAAGCTCCTTAGCTTAACTGCCTTATACCTGAGGTGTTCATTGGTGTGATATATCAATATTCACGTGCTGGGTATCAGATACCTAGGCATCATGTTACGTCAAAACATACTTTTATATTTCAACGTACTACGCGTGAGCTTAGCTCAATAAATGGGTACGGGGACACAAATGTGAATGTAAAACTCTTATTAAGGATTTTTGGATTGATATTCTGTTAATGTAACAATTGAAACTTATGTTGGGCTTCTCATACCTATGGAACTTCATGATTTTCTGGCCAAATGAAATAACATATGTATAAATTATTAGTTTCGGATACCATAATCTGTACCATAAAAAAGGCCATAGTGATATGAGTATATGTCGAGTATATGTCGCGTAGATAATAATTTTTCTATGTACATATTCTAAATTACAGCCAATAAACTATATCTCTTGTCTGCCTTGCTTTTTTCGCTGGACCGATAATAGTATTTGCGATTATACTAACAGGAGATCAAAATTCTTGATCCAGATCAAAATGGACTAATGAGAAGGCATCTGTTTAGTAATGAATCTAATGAATATAGTCGACTTATTCTAAAATGTCTCTTAAACTAGCGAAAAATATACGATTTGTGTAGGATTCTGATATTAAATCAAGAAATTTTTTATAAATCACCTGGTTTGGCTACAAAAGCATACTTTTTTACTTGATCCGTATCAACAATGACCAACTAGAAAACGTTTTAGTAAACCTGAATCAATAACTGGCCAGTCGGACAGAACGCTTTAATCCATGCCCTAATAGTGGATCAAATCTGATACAATGCCCAAATTGATATGATATCACCTACAGAGCACTTCATTCAAAAGAACAGTGTATTACTTACCCGAGAGAGAATTTTAGAAAAAAGGATGTCTTTTTAAAAATGCATCAACGTGTCGATTGTTGATTAAATTGCCGTCTAACGAAATTTGTTGATATATGAAACACTGTTTGGCACACACTTCTGGGTGTGAGCAAAATTTATGCAAAGTAGTGGCAATCATATTTTTAGTAAAACTGATTCAGTATGGATATAATGTATGTTACTTTCCTGTTTCATCAGCTTAGTCCAGTCACAGGCCTGCCCAGTGCTACCTTATCAAATTGTCCATCGAATAGTCGTGAGGCTGATATTGTGCCAGTTACACAAAATAAACGGTATTTTCTTCAATTACACGCCATTTCTACTCTTTCAATTGAATTGAAAAATAGATGCTTCAGGTGCAACTGCTATGTGTTAAAATAACGAACATTTGTGTGTCAATACATATTATTCATGCTTACTGCTATTAGCTTGGCAGCACTACAAATGTATCAACTGTCAATAGTAGAGGAAAACGAATATTAGGGAGAGGCGTTCGCAAATATTCAGAAGTGTTGATTAGTGTGATTCAACGCCATGAGTAATATGTTATTATTATTTTATTATTATTAACACAGTATTCACATCAAAACTTGCTATCTTAAATTTGTTTCAAGCATGAAAGAAATCTGTGGTTGTTGTATGTAGATCAAGTTCGTTAGTTCGATAGCACAATGTACGAAAAATGACATCTCGCCCCTGGGTGGGTGTTTAGTTTTAAGGCTTTTTTTTATTATATAACAGGGTAACTACAGCCATCTAGCTGATGTGTTATGTTTGGTTGTCATTTTGAGAGTTGTTTTCTATATACCTATTTAATCTTATCATTCATCTGTCGATAGGGCTACACGCATTGCCTTATGTAGTAGGGGGCGCGGGATTACTGTGTAACGAAATGGAGTAGATTCTGTAAAAACCATGAAGCACGCCACAAGCAAATTTTGTCTGCCATTTTTCTAAGCACTTAAGTTGTCCTCAGAGAATGAAATATTATCAAATTCTGATATCAGTGGTCTATATTATATGGGCCTTCGAGAAATCAGATCAAAACTAAAAAGCGAATCGGTCCGAAGCAAGTAAAAAACTGAACCTGACTTCTACCGCTGGGTGGAGGAAATACTTGGCGCCTTATTTAGAAAACTTGATTACAAAAAGAGTTACTTACTTTGAATGCGATACTGTTTTTGTGTTTATGGTGAATGCTACATAAATCAGATTCGAAAAAAATACAATTACAAGGACACTTCATAAACACTGACATTAAAAAGTAAGATTATGGGGGTCGACGTGTCATGGGCTGTCACAGTAGGGTAGTGATGGGAATTATCGAAGATGTGCGCTTCACAGCTTCACTGTAGTCGATAATTATATATCGATACTACCTGTACTCCTCTTAAACGTACTCGTCTATCGTGTTATATGGCAAAGATATATACTTTTATCGAAATCAAAGTTTCATCTGATCGTTTGTGTTTATCATACGTTCACATTTATTGAGAATTGTGACAAATAGCGTGCAGTATTTCCAGATACAAATTTATTTTATCCAATGTGCAATAACCTATGCTGTATGAAAAAAATCGCGTATGCCGGCGAGGTATAGCTGCAACCCAAAAAAATCTTTATTTACCTTCAACACCGAAATGCGGATTGACTACATCAGCAGAAACATGTGATAATGGAAGATAATTAAGGAGTTTGTTGAAATCTACACCTATATATATATATACATATATATACATATATATATATATATATATATATATATATATATATATATAGAGGTGCTGATTTCCTATATATATAAAGGTTATTTTAACTATCTTTTTGTACTACCAGCTAGAATCGCCAGCTGTTTAGATGTAAGACTGATTTACTTTGTCATTTAAAATGCCACCTTGTCACCTTGGTGCTTCTTAGAACGTTCTGAATCCGTGTGACCCCTAAATTTACATATAGAACATTGGACTTTCGGTTTTGGACATTTAAAGGACGGGTGGCTTATATCATGGCAGTTATAACAAGTAGTACGGCTTTAATTCGGCGCCACCTGTAAATCCTTAGTAGGCACCGAACTGTTACTGACGTGACCGACAGCGCGTCTATCATGCGCTATCTCGACACGATCAGCATTATTTTCATTTTGATCAAATCGTACAGAGTTCAAGAACTTTAGTAGATGTTCCACGTCTGTAAATTCTGCTGCTTGAGTACCTAATCTTACACCGCGGTCATCAATACGAGTACCTGCTATCTGACAATCTACTGCTTGACTCCCACTAATTCCATGATTTAGTAGATTTATCTTTGAATAATAGTATAGCCCTGATAATTCTCCAAAGTGAACTCTTTTATTGAGCATCAGTTAACAAATCAGTATAGTTGTCCCTAATGGGAAATGATTCTTGAAGCTTAACCTTCCATTTAAACCAGCCAAGAAGCAAAGTAGGTTGACCCCGATACCAAGACTTGGCAACACGACACAACTTAGGAAGAGCATAATCGTCTGTCGGTCACCCCAGTCATATATCTGAGCACATTCCTTAACCTTATGCAACCATGCATCAATAGCTTGTTCTTTACATAATGGATCAAACTCTGGTATAACATTATTAAGAGGAGGAGACTTAACGTCTCTACCCTTGATACCCTTCATCATATCAAGAAAACTTGTGAGCATACTCGTAGACGAAGCTTGGTTACTCTCATGATTGCGTGAACGCTGCTTCATGAGCTCACCTTCACTACTAGAGCTACCTAGCTGATGATGCTGGCTATTACGCTTTGAGATATTCTCGCTGACGTCAATACTACTGCTGCTGCAACTTGAGCTGTACCTGCGAGTGCGCTTACTGCCATGATGGTTTGAAACTTTACGTCGACGTGGACTACGACGTGATCTATTTCGTCTCCTTGCTAGCCGACTTTCTGGTGATCTCATCTCCTTACTCTGTGGTCTCACTCAAAAAGAAAAAACATCATTACATGATGCCATACGCAGGAATAATGGTTAGTAACAATGAGCAAGTGGTAAAATGCCTTAACGGAAATGATCAAGTAAATAAGACCCATATTGGCGCCAATAAGCATAGTAATACGATGTTGGTATTCTAAGTGATATGCTACGCACATAGTCCCTATGGAAAACTATATATCCTGCATGCATTGTAATTATTATTATGTCCAAATTGCTGTTAGACTTACTCGTTTGTCGACCAAAAGTAAAATCAATAAAATAAATACACAGTATTTCTTTTTCTTTACTTACGTTTCGTACAGCAGAAGGGCGTGAACAGAACAAATTTTCGAAAATTGCTCTTGATCCCACTTTATGAAGATGTTAGGCCAACCTGCTGATTCAACGTATTTATTGTTGAATGTTTACAGTTAGTCTTTTGTATAAACTTCGATGACAAACATTTATGACGGACTGTCCGAGCGATAACAACATTCATCTCCACGACGACTGATCCGCATGATTAGTGAGCATAGTATGAGCAAGAATACTCTATCCTTGAGTTAATTTAAGGTCTAACAATACTAAAATCCGGCCTACGTGTTGGGGACGTTAACAAAAAAGGTCTCCAAAAATTTCAAGCAATATTTGCTGCCTAGGCTGTTTACGAACACTATAAATCTAGCGTATCTATCTTCCACAAATCAAAATGGAAACTGCGGATTCAACGCTCTGTTTGTGCGCTAATTGCGTAAAAAATCCGATGCGAGAGGGCCAGAGATGCTGATCCATTGGAAAAGGGCAAACATGATCGTCGGGGCATGAACACAGGGATGAGAACGGGGTTTTGCAGCGTCATATTTTCTAGCATTGCTGTGCAGACAAAACGCAACTACAATAAAATTGAAAAAGAAAGTGGTTAGGTCGCCAGAAACAGATGCGGACTCAAACAATTGCTTTGACATAAAACATAAGTTAAGTGGACTGGCTCAATGTTTTTCATACAGTATTAGTTGATGTTTGAGTTGCGCACATTGGTCTAGTCATGGCGTGCTTAAAAAATTGCGTCCACTAGATTATTTTATTTCCAAACCTAACGCCCGATAAGCTAGGATTAAGAAAATCGGATAAAGTAATTATATGTGAAATATAGAGGCAACCTAACAAGGAATGAAGCTTTCACTTAGCTGGAGGCGGGAGTGAATCGTGAACTAGTGAGTGTCGTGGACAGTTCACTCGATCACGACTCAGATTTTCCATGAAGCCAATGTGAAGAAGCTCCTAATTGAAAGCTCTGCAGTTTTCATTTCAATTTTCAGTGCTGTGCTAGCGAACGGTTGAGGGGGTCACGAGAAATTAAAAAAAAATTGAAAGAAAAAGCGTCGTTGGTCACCACAATCTGGTGATTACTATACGCTTTGCTCCCAACTGGCGGGTCTAGACAGTTTCAGTAAGTGGGCATTTTGACAAAATATACGAAGTAGGCATAGAGAAATGTTTATTAGAAAATTATTGTCGTGCATCTGGGATTTATTGATTATGAGGGAAGTTAGTAGAACAGACTGCATTGTCCTATCCAGTAGCTGTAATTTCACCAGGTGGTGTTTCAAGTTCTAAAAAGTAGAGACAGTCAAAAACTCTTTTTCTTATTTCATTTCTACCTAACTCGCAATGCAGTCATGATCATGATCAATTTTGTACGCAAAGGGCAGCATCAGGCTATCTCTTGTTTTTTCATGTACCAGATATGTCACCCTTGTCCATCGTTCCAAAAACACCAAAAGCCCTAAAAAAAAACAGGCGAAAATCCACCCAGAACTGTCGTTGAGTCAGTTGTCTATCGTGATGTCATATTGCATCCATAAAACGTGTGCGATCAGTTGGATATCACTTTGATAGACATCAAGTGAATGGTGGGGCAATGGTACTTTAAGCATGTGATCATTATTTCAGTCCGATTCTGTTTAGTTTTATACAAATAAACCTCTCACACGTTTTTACTTTATAATTGTTGAATTCCGAGCGGCTGATGCGGTAAATTTGTCGGCCATTCATTTAAACTGCGGATTAATTTTTTCATCCGCCAGCCCGCCATGCCAGATCGATTTCGGTGCATCTGCCAACTGCGTAAAATGCGATTTTAAGCAGTTTCCAGCCTCGCTTTTCAGAGCCCTCTAATCGCTACGAAACATATTTTGCCGTTAGCCGAAACAAAAAAATCGACGGTGGTCCGACACGCTTTTATTTCAGTTGTTTTTCATGCGCGTTCCAAAAGCCGTCACTAAGCCGGATCATAATCAGCGCAAATGCTATTTTTTCATTTGCTTATTCAAATCCGCCGAAATGAGGGGAATGTTGATTTTGTTTTAGTTGATCGGTGGTTTAAATTCAGTAATTTGTTAAGGTAATTTAGTCAATGAATTTTTAAAATGTATCGTAAAGTGAGACGACAATAGGTTTGTTCCAACAAGCAGTTCAGAACCAATTCCGAATCACTTTTGTGTGCATGCCCGAGGTAGATCCAGTTCAGAACTACTTCCAAACTATTCTGTTGGAACAGATAATTACCTTTGAAGTATTATTTAAAATTACCAAGTTTCCGTATGCTAGACATAAAATTTGAGATTATTTTTTACTTTTTGATATGGTAGATTTAACAACAGTAGCTTGGCGAAGCATTTTAAATATATATATAGTATGCAGTTTTGTATATTTTTGAGCTGGAAGAATTCATAATTTTGCTTTTAGAGGAATTATGCTCTGATATAGCAGCAGAGGAGGAAGTTAATTGGAATGTTAACAACTTCTAACATCTCTTCTAAAGTAATCTTCATCGTCATCCATTTTTTAAATATGTGTAGTAGATAGGACGATAAACGATACTTAGCTTTAATACATTTAGAGATTGAAAAGTTAGGACAGGCACAAAAAGGCATCGACAAAACTCAGCTTGCCAGTTATGAACAACGAATCGACGCTGTAAACCAGAACTGTTAGAATCAGTTCAAAACTGGCTCGGAAACAGTATCAAATTTGTTGGAACACAGAACTGCCAGCTATGGAATCAGTTCCATTTTGTTGTGGGACGGTAATTTCGAACAGCGCTTGTTCTGTTTAGACCAAAACTAGTTCGAATGTTTGCTGGAACAAAGTTTATACCAGGAGGTGACTCTGATGTTACCTTTGCTTCCCACCTCTTTGTCCCTTTATATCCGTTAGGCAACGGCATGTCATGCTCACTTGACCTATGCTATCGTGAGAGATCTATTGCTTTCAAAATTTGACGATACCATTTGTTGTTTTTTTTTTGTTGGGAAGCAGGTGTACAATAAAAAAGATCTCTTAATTCTGGAAGATACATGAACCAAGCTTCTTTTTTTAATAGTTCCATGGAAAAAATGCATAACCTAAGTAACTATCAGCTTTTGGACTTTGAGGTTATATTATTATACATGCTCTGCCATCGCGCAATTTGTTAGGTGGTGTATGTTTGACAGTGGTGGGCGTTTACGTGTATACACTAATTGTCTACGTCGCGCTGTATGCAATGCGTATACAATGAATATAATGTAATACGTATACAATGAATGCAATGTATACATTGCGTATATAATAAATAATACAATGTATACAATGATGAAGACAATGTATAGAATAGCATAAGTGAGGATAGATTTATTCGCAAACGCCAGAAAGTTGGTAAACGGTGAACCGACAGCTTAAAAAAATATGGTTGGACGCACCAAGAACAAAGAAATCGATGAACTAGGGTTCATTTATTGTTCTTAATTCATTTAAAACTGTATCTTTGTATACGTATATAAATAAATATTATATATTTTTTCATTATTTATAAACTGCTTCAACAGTCAAACCAATAATGCAATGTTACAGAAGTTGTATCTATCCTGAGCTTTCAGTTCCACCTAAAATCGGAGAACCATTAGGATCGATCTGGAATTGATCCCAAACAGATTCGACAGAAATGTGTATTTGCAGGCAAGCAAGTTACAGTTCTGTTCTGTGGCCTTCATCACTGTTGTGCCAGGCAACGTGGTGTGTGGCACACTCTTTCTACACAAGTGGTGCCCGCTTCTCCCCCTCTCTCTCTTCCTCGTACATATCGAAATCTAAAAGGGAAAGGGACCTTCGCCAGTACTATATGCAAGTAGTTGAACTATGATTTGCTATTGTATACATTATATACATTGTATACGGGAATATCAAGACGTATATATTCACCATTGTATACGCGTATAAAATCGTGTATTATACATGGTGCATACAATGCGCCCATCACTGATGTTTGATAATGAGCGTGGGGCGATATTCGTAGTATTGGTTTTAGTTCATTTGGCACTGCCTTTCAATTCTAATATTTTTTTCCTCTCAATTGCTCGGTGATGAAATTATTATTTCTACAACTTTAAAGTCACTAAACAACAAACACCTGATGTAGCACAATATCCATTCAAAGGATTTCGTTTTACGCTCAATAGCTGGTTGCCCACCTAGCCTCATCATAGTCAAAGACGGTTCTATCTATATTCTAAATTGTCGAAATGCCAAGCCAATACATCCCAGCTTCTGGTTTGTCGTATATTTCTAAGAGATCTGATCCAATCAGCCCGCTGAAGAGCAGTGATCAGCATTGCGTTTCATTTTTTCTGTTCGTTTATTGACATACCAGCATGCTCTAGATGAAGTCGAAAAGAAAATTAATATGACATTTATAAAAAGGGGGATGTTAGAGAACTTGGATAATAACTTGGAACTGTTCGTGTACATTAAATAGGTGTGCATCTTAAATATAATAATATATCTTTTAAATGTCTATGTGCTGTTCTGATTTTTAGTTCATTAGAGTTAGGCACCATATCAAAGTCGCCTCCCGAATTTAACGATATATAACCCACAATGTGCTTGGGAGAAAATAAAATGGGTCGACATTAATAATTTCATACACAATATACAGAGTGGCCCATCCATGTGTGGACGGAATATTACTCATAAACAAATACATATTGGGAAAATCTGTTAATGAGATGGTATACATGACATTTGAGGGCACATTTCTAAAATATTGGCTATAATGCAGGTTGTCCCAAATTCGACAGACATATCAAAGTTGTGAGTTTTCAAATAGAATGCCTCAAATATTATTGCATATTTTAATACACCAATTCAAAAGAAGGAAATTGATATTACATACTAAGGGGTTTTGGTAATTAGCTACTGAGATATAAGGTGTTTTGTCTAGACAACCCCCCCACTTCGGCAACCAGTCAGTCCGCCATTTTGAAATTTATTATTATTATATCAAAAAAAACTTACACACCTCAGCTTTTATCTTGTTTGTTACCTTTTCGAATTTTAATTTTTGCTCATAATTTTGGTCATAAACGCAAATTGTTGTTTGTCTCAAAAAATTCAAACGCATCACCCTGTATATTTGTGCAAGTTTGGATTCAATTG